GAAGAAAATACCGTTTACATCAGTTTTTACAGATTTTTTTTTATATTGTTGTAGAATTTTGAAAACAGAAAAATGTAGAAGGGAATATTTAGTTGTTATTGTTTGTTTTTATTTTTACCATTTTTCTACTAAAAACAATAATTCTAATTAAAAATAATTCTAATTAAAAATAGCATATGTGTATATTGATAGTACCACATGATATAAAAAATATCATCATAAAAATAATTCTAATTAAAAATAGCAACATAAATAATAATAAGAAATCGCACTACATACAAGCAAATAATTATTCCGACAGTTGAAGTATTTTTTTTAATGGTTTTTCGGTAACTTTTTAAGTTTTCCAGCAGTTTATGTAAACTTTGGACGACATAAGGCTGTGATACATGAATTTGATGTATTATAGGATTGCAATTTATAACAAAAAATTCTTTGAGCTGCAGATTTCAAAAAAATAATACTAATTATTATCATTTTTATTAGTATTTATCCTAAAATAAAGTTCTCACGGTATCTATATCTATATAATTGCTAGCTAAGCAATAAATTTTACCTAATAAATAAAACCTAATAAATTTTACCTATGTGGCAAATCATTAATAAAACTTAATAAATAGAACCTAATAAATTTTATTTATGTGGCATTAATACACCCAATCTCTTTAATAAAAAATATTTCATTATATTTTTTTGGGTTAATTATGACAAAAACTATTATATTTTATGTCAATTGATTAATAATTATATTTTTTTATTGAATAATATAATAGTTAATATTAAAATTAGTAATTATATTTTATACTAAATAATATATGAAAGTTACATAAAATTATATTTTACACTAGAATCAATATTTTTGTATATGATGAAGATGTTGTTTATTAATAAATTAATTTTTTTTATATCATAGTAAAATTTCTTAAAATCACATAAGCAATTGTTATAATAAATATAATATTTTTCAGCTAATTAATTGGTCATGATCACTCAAAATTATAAAAAGTATATATTTATTACATTTTATGCAATCAATATAGTGATTTGTATACAATCAAATCGTGTGTACTATTTATTTTAACCAATGATCAAATTTTAAAATATAATACTACTATAGAATTTATAATTTTAATATTATATACATAAATATAACTTATAATACTATATGTTTGAAATATAATACAATTATATAACTTATAATTTTTATATTATATATATAAATAAAACTTATAATATTTAATTTTATTTACATCTGTGCAAATGCACAGAGTTGAATACTAGTTTATTTCAACCAATTAACAGTTCATGTCTTTCCACCATATTTGTATTGGTTAATTCACATTTAATTATTTTATTAATCATTAATATAATCAACTGTATAGTATCCTCTAACAGCGACCCCATACCAAGTATCAGTTACTTGGATTTGCCCCAACCAAGCAAACAAAGTGAATCCCATGAAGGAATATTATGATCTCCAAATGTCAAACATTATTAATTATTGACAATCATGTAAAAGACTAAAAGTGAAGTGTTTTAGTCAATTATTAAACAAACTATTATGATCGTTTTGACTTTTATCCTAATGAGAAATTATTTTATTTTAGTTGAACCGCCAAGTCAAGTCAACGGACGGTGAGATATCGAATGTTTCGATGCGTCCCATGAAGGAGTATTATCTCTTAGTTTAGTTAATTAAAATCGTGGTTCCATGATCTCTAATATAACTTAGGCCACAAACTTTTGTTTAATTAAAGGGATAATTAGATTATAATGTTATACTTTTCTTATAGCAGATCTTATATTATTTAAAGGGAGTTACATCTTTTTTTTTCGAGGGAAAATTGACCAAAAGTTTGACGAAATACAATTTGAAAATTTGAGAATGGTTGATTTTAGAAACAATAATGGGTAAAATAGCATCTATATTAAATTTTAGCTTTATGTTATTTTTATATTATCATAACATTCTTTCCCTAGCTACTTAATTTATATAGTCCAAACTTTTTATGTAAATATGAGATTGACAATAGAAAAAAAGGACTTTGGGAGTAACAAAAATATTATATACCTCGTGATTGACAATATGAAAAGGGACTTAAGGAGTAATGAANCTTAGGTTTTGAAATGATGATGTTTACCTTTGATCCTTCAGCTAAGACTTCATTATTTTTCAATTAAGATTAATAGTGAGTTTATTCCTTTTGGGATTATTTTATTATTAGGTTAACAATGTATCACTGTCAATTTCAATTTCTGTTAATTTGATGGAAAATTTACGTTAAATTATCAATACTGATGACAACTAATTTTATTTATTTATTATGTTCTATGTACGAAATTGAGCTTGTAAATAGGCAATTTGCTGACTCTTGGATAAAATTTTATGTCAATATATTTACTTATTTTTTTAACTTTTACTGCATTCTTGTAAAGTCCTATAAAATCACATCATTTATCATGGCATGCCACAATTACCTAAACTGAGGATTATGTGCATTAGTCAAGCATTCCCCTAAAGTGAGAATAATAATGTTTTATAAAACATTTTTAAATCCGTTATTTGAGAAATAAAAAATAATGTAGTGGTGTACGAAGTAATTTTTTCTACTATTATTTAAGAAAACATAACACTACAATTGGGCTCAAGCTCACACGATCAATAGGCCGAATAACAGGGGCCTTATGGGCCTGCCCTCGTGAATGGATCTTTTGTGATTGTCCTGTGACACTATTTGTGGTACATTATCTTTTTCAAATTGGTGTTCTCCACTTGAAAGAGGCCCAATTTATAACCACACAGCCGGGCATGGCCTTCATGAGCCAGGTCCAAAATTGAGCTTCTACTCGAACTCAGGCTTTAGGAGTCGAGTCGAGTTCGCTTTGTTAAGTTAACGAGTTGATAAACAATCTCATACTTGGCTCATTATAACAAACCGTAATGAGCTGATCCTATGTCTTAACAAGTCGAAAAACTAGGTTTTAAACGAGCCTAATGAAACTTATAACGGCATTAATTAAACTTGATTTATTAAATAAATGAGTCTTAAACGAGCTCAAGCTTTGCTCATTTACTCGAGTTCGAGCTTTAGCAAGCTTCACAAGCTAATGGCTGTTATGGACCAAAATGAAAAATCACATTAAAAGTGATGATCGACCACTAAATTTAGTTGAAGAACCATAGTGGAGTAAAAAGTAATAATCAAATAATTATTGCGTGGAGTGGCCTATTCGTTAGGCGGTTCGACCCCCTATACTTAATTAAAATGCATATTTTTACTATCCGATGTCATATTTTGTTATGTTTCTGATTATATTTTTTGTAAGTATAACATTATATTTTATAATAAAAGTATGCATACTTATAAAAAGAGCATGACAGTCTAATAGTTACATCATCCTAACACAAGAGTTATCGTTCTCTGAATTACCATCTCAAATATTATGGTTGTGATTAGATACAATAATTTTCACTCTAAATTGCATTCAATTTAAAATCTAACTCAACATTTTCTCAATATTATCAACATAATTAAATAATATCATCCGATCGTTCTTATACATCACATTTACTTTAATTTATTATTCATCCACTCACATAATTTTAATTAAACATCATTTCTCATCATCTCTCTCATACTTTTACATCAAATCAACTTTAATTATATTATTTTAATATAAATTTAAAATTCCATTAACAACTAACCATACCATATTTTTTTTCAAATTAATCCTGGTTAACATAAAAATCCACTTTGGGTGGATATTGTTGTATCCAATCACACCCTATGTTTCTATGAAAGAATCATGGTTTTAAAGACACCTAGGTTTTTAATTATAAACAATACATAATTCTTGTGCCCATAATATTCTATTTATCTCATATATTTAGCATGATTTGAAAAGTTGATACTTTCTCCATCATAAAAATCCAAAACCAATGATTTATCTGATAAAATATTTTCCTCACTAATCTCGTATTTACATTATAATTATATTTGTTATGAAACCGACAGGTTGACAATCTTGCCACTGAACGTTGAAAATAGTCTCAACTTTAAGTGTAAAAGTGATGAAAAGTAAACATGGAAAGTGGAAAGTATCCGACAGGAAGCAATTGAACAGATAAAAGGTGTTGAAACTTTTTCATCAATTTTGGCTGAAGCATTGAAAAATTGGTCGATTGGATCGAATTTTTTTTTTTTTTTCTGTTATAAAATTATGTTTCATATTTGATAAATACATATTTAAATATTTTGTGCATGCACAAATTATTATTCAGTTTCGGCAATTGCATTGTTTCACATTTGCAAGATTTTTTCAAATATGTCCAAACTGATGAAGGTCTAATCCCATTTTATTCGAATTATTTCTGGTACACATTATTTGACATTTTATATGTCCTTTTTCATTTCAAATGAATGAATAAATACTAATAGAAAAAAACAAGGCTCACAAATCACATGCACAATATCAGTAGGGACAATGTGAAGCTAATGTAAGGAAGGAAACAAGAAGTCAACAAGAAATTTGTAAGGCCTCCATTGAATAAGAATCGTAACCGATTCAAATCGATTTTGACCTATTGAGTTATTTTATAACAAGCAACTCTCATATTATTTTTTATCAATACAATTAAATAATACTAAATTTGTACATCACATCCAATAACTCCTCTCATATTCTATCCGCTAACATAATTTAACTACATATATATCACTTCCAATAACTCCTCTCATATTTTTACATCACATCAGCTTTAATCATTACATTTCAATATTATTTAATTACAAACTCAAAATCATCCACTGAATCAACGTTATTCAAAATAACTCATTTTAACCAACCAAATCCAACCAAAACAAGTTGGATTCATATACAATCACACCCTACTTCTCATTTCACTAGTTTGAACTCATTTCACATCGTATAAAAACCATTGACAATACAAATTTCACATAGTAAAAACCATTAGCAATACAATACAAACACACACAAACTCACATCACACATCCAAACATATATCCACCAAAATCATCCTAACACACAACCAAGTATTA